AGGTCTCCTTTGAAAAAGGTGCTTGCGGTCTCAAATGGGCTCGGGCGCAGATTAAAAAATGTACCCGTAAAAACAAAGTTTTTCACTATAAATCCTTTATATGCGTGGCGGCTAGAGTCCTCTCGTCCTCTGGCTTGAGATGGTTGCCACCTATGGGTCAGATGATTGCTTTCCACCATTAAGCAATTGGTAATTACATATAATTTTTTTTTCCTAAAAAGTGTAAAATTTAGGAAAAAATTTTTCACGAAAATAAATTGTCACGCACAACGAGTCTGTTTGCAAAATGTCAGCTCGATTGGATCACGGGAAGTGGGTAAAAAAACGACCGAAAGATTTGCACGGTCGTAAGCGCGCAAGCAAGCAAGCACGCAAGTGAACTTTATATAAAGGTTTTAAAAAGGCGATGGTTGTTATAAAATGAGGATTTAACTGTCAAGTTAATTTTGTTTGTTGTCCTGCTCCCGCGACCTCTGGTGAGCACAGTTGGCTACGCACGTTACGGAAGAAGTTCAACGTGCATTACATGCGTGTGTAAAAAAAACGGACACTTGAATTCATCATATTGCAGTTTATTTTTCCCACGCCTGCCCCCCCTTTCCTCTCGGCTGTAGTTGTCAGGTTGGCATCCAGCGGGTGTTGCTCTCGGGGTCAGAGTTCAAAGAGATCCGGCGGGTGGAAATAAAGGGGCGGCGATATTGTCGTGCCGCGTTTATTGGCTCTAAAAAAATCTGTTAGTGACCGGCGTATTGTTGTGGTTGCACGTAAACGCGGAACGGGCTTCGGTGAAAAATGAGACGCACCAACAACACCCGGCGATAATGAAGGGGACGTTGAAAGGCGCTCGCAAGTTAAAAGCCGCGGTGGCAAGATGTTAACTACCTCGCTTGGTATACAGGTAGTAGGGGGGCGTGGGGGAAATAATACAAATTGAATATAGTCCTTGAAATCTTGAAAATGGCTGGAGAAGCACGTCAGGTCAAGAGGGGAGGGGCCTTCATTGTTTCCCTAAGAAAATGCCGTCGGGCACTGATAACGATGTTGGCGCCATGAGGCCATTTGGGGGGCATAGTACGGGGAGGCGGAGGGAGGGGGTAGATGGCAGAAGGGGCAGTTCCAGCAAATTGGGCCCCGAAAAACTTAACGTCTTAAATTAGCATTTTTATATATTCTTTGATATTCGTATTGTAGTAAAGAAAATAAAATTACGTGGGACACCGCTCGCTGTATTCCGTGACCTTCTGTTTCTTCCCCCCCCGCCTCCTTCCCCCCCGCCCCCGAACCTCTCGGCTGTGAATTTGCGAATTGTACCAAAAAACTCCCACAAACAAACTATTGCCGGTTTGGTCGTCAGGGCAAGACTCCAGTCGTCCCTGTGCGAGAACACGTGCGTCATATCTCTCTCTCTCTCTCCCTCCACTCGCGCGACTCGAGGCACATGCAGATGTTGAGACGGGCTCCGCTCCCTCCTCTCCAACGGACATCATTTCCGCTCGCTCCCGGGGCTTTTGTGTTCTTTGCCGCCGCTGCCTTGCCGCGCTCATTCCTTTGTTGGTGTCCGCGTTGATATAGACACGGACCGCGCGTGGCGCGATATTGCGGGCGTCGAATTGCACGCCCATCAATCACCCCTGCGGGGTTCAAGCGGCCCCCGTTTATATCATCGATGCGGGCAAGTAAGCCACCTGTCACTGAAGCCGTACGTTTAAATGAATACGAACAGTGTTGTGGGAAATATTTTTGATTCGCGCCCCATCTTGTCAGGTCGCGGAAGGTTAAAAACAAATCAGGATGGAGCCTGATTAGTAACCGGATGGGAGACTTTGTTACAGGCTTGGGCTGTGAATTGAATCCGTGTGGAGCACATGAGTGTTTTCCCCCATCGTATTCGCGGTGGGTTTTCTCTGGGCACCGTGGTTTCCACCCACACGAAGCCGAACAACTCGTTCATGGAATTGGCCGGAACATACCAATGCAGAAGGACCCTCCTGAAAATAGCATTTTGAGATTCAGTGAGGCTTTACCTAGATACACAAGTGGCACTTTTTATTGGCTCGGTTTACAATTGCATTAGCTCCACGACATCTTGGAGACTCCCATGCATTTAGACATTGTTTGAAACACAACGCACGTTGTGTTCTGTATCGTGGTACCTGCTAGGAAAGTCTCGGATGAAGCCAAATTACTTGTCCAGATGCTCTGTCGCGAGGTTGGCATGGACCCTGGTACAAGGACTAGGATGTGGGGCCCAATTTGTTACGTAGGCTTTCGCCACCAATATTACGTGTCCCGATTGATTTTTGGGCTCGATAACATCATCCGTAATCTGATTTCTGGCGACTGCCTGATGATGCGGGTTGTTAACCACCGACGGAACGTCGTGCCCAATTGTTAAACGTGTGTGGATCGTTCTCCCGGACGCACTGGCAGTAGCTGCCGAAGCAGTCAAAAATTGGCGTGTTCATTCACATGGCAACTTCATGAATTGGCTGTGTAGGGTGGCGGAGGGTGTACGACACGCATTTCCGCTCACGGCGAACTGACCCAAAAATCAAATGCTCTCGCATAGCCCGGCGCCCTCCGGGTGCCCCGTCCGGCCCACGGGCCGTGGTGCAGTCGCACCGCCTGCACGCCCGGCAGCCACTCCACCGTCAGCGATGCCTTCTTCTGCGGCGGTGGCGGTGTGCATTGGTGTCCCCGGCATGCCTGAGTCAGGCGTGTCCCGCACTCTCTCGTTGCCCCGATTGACACGCGTCCATGCGGCTCACCTTTTAAGTCTGCGAGCAAGCGCTCCGTCTGCGAGTGTCGTTCTGTCCCGCCGTGTAGTTGAAACGAACAAAGCGTGTACCTCTGCATTTTGCAGATCAAAAAGTGCAAGCGCACTCGGCTTTCAACTTATCCTTGGTAATGAACGGGGGAAGTGATGGATGACCTGGAAAAAACGACAACAATTTGGAAGAATGCTAAATATTTTCGAATTACTCCGGCGCAGGATTTCGCGGTTGTGCTGCGGTGCGGTTCCCCGATGCGCACGCGGGTTGTTTCCGCGTGTCGTTCGTCACGATGTCCGACGTTCCGCCCTACGTCCTGGGAGCTTCGTCTCCGATCCTATTCTGTGTGAATAAGACGATATTATTATTACTATGATACTCTTTAAGATGCTTGAATTAAAACCTTTTTTGAAAGCTTCAGCCCTTAAGCACCACTTAATTTCCCATCCACCAAACACACTTGTTTTTGTAGAGTACTGACACATGCGATTTTCTCGCACGTGGGAATAACATCCATCACGATGATAACCCAGCAGCATTCCTTCAACAGGCCTGACTTGCTGATGAGACCCAGAATGTTGAAACCGGTTTCCCAATTTGCTTGCTTAAACAAATTATTTGTGCTGATGTAATTCTCGAAAGCCATCGGGCAGATTGCAAAAAAAAAAAATTGTTATATGCCGGAGACAAAGAATGGAGTGTTGCCTATGTGTGCTTTTACCCATGACGATGATTGGTAAAACCGGAAAAAAAATCCACTTTTTTTGTGTGACCGAGAAAAACAGCAAGGTCAGCGTATCAAATTTCGTGGGAGAGGCAGACAGCTTGTTAACACATGGCCACCATCGTTAACACGGAGAGTTGAAGGCCGCCTCAAGTTTAAAAAACAAAGGGCGTTGCGCCCATGTTTGCCCAGAAATCGCGCTCCGTTGGCCGCACCTGCTCCCCCACGAGTCCGCCGCATAATTTACGAACGGCGGGGAACATGCAGCCACCCCTCGCCACGAGGCTGGGAACGTTTAGAAGAGGGGGGAGGGGGGGGCCCCCTCCCCACCATTTCCCCCACCCCACCACCACCTCGCCTCTCTCGAATCCAAGGCCCATCGCGAGACAAACTCCCACCACTCTGCCCTGCCGACCCTGGCCTCCATGGCCGGCTCAGCGAGAAATGTGGAGTGCCCTGTCCCTCGCCACCCCCCACCCCCATCCCCCCGCCCCCACCTGTCGGTCCTTCAGAGGGAATGTTCACCACGTGACGTCGGCACGTTACCATACGTCACGTGGATGGGGGAGCGGTGACGCGGTTGAGCGGCGGCGAGCGTTTGCCGCTCGGCACAGAGATTCGCGGTTCGAGCCCAGCCGGCCACCCTGGTTAATAAAAAAAAAAAACGAAACTATTTAATTTCTTATTTTACCAGGTAAGACCCAGTGACCTGGCTGCAAGTGCTAGCTCAGCGAAGTGGCTTATCACGTGGAAATCTATGGCAGCCAAATACTCTAAAACGCATCTTTCTAAATGTGGTAGGGAAAAACCGGAGGACTCGGGGAACTTGCAAGGATTCAGCTCACGCCATGTCCAGCAAGGTGTCTTTATCAGATGACCCACAGACATCTTGCCGGTCGTACGGCTTGTAACACACCAAGCTTCAGCACTCCTCCTCAAGAACTTACCCTCCCCCTCCTCTCTTATACCCCTGGTCCACATTCCTTGCCAGTCACTCATTCTCCAGGGCTTTGTCTCAGATTATGATTAACTGGCCAAGCATATTTGAGTTGCCTACTTAATCCCTGCCCAGGGCTTTGCCACAGTGGCGAGACGTTAACTACCTCTCCTGGTATACATGGAGGTTGTGGGTTCGATTCCGACCCTGACACCTGTACATTCGCAGTTTGCATGTTCTCTCTGTGGTCGCATGGATTTTTCTCCGGGTCCTCCGGTTTTCCCTCCGCATTTCTTAACTAGCAGTTTCGAGTATTTGGCGGCTATACATTTTCACATGATAAGCCACTTAATTGGGCAATCATTTGTGGCCAGGTCGCTCCTGAAAAAGAGCTATATAGCTCAGTCGGCCTTACCTGGCACAAAAAAAAAAGTTTCCTTTGCCCCAGGTTATGATTATCTGGCCAGGCGCCGTTCAAATCTCCGACATAACGATCACGGTGCTTGTGGTTTGCGCGCGTGCGTGCGTGCGTGTGTTGCTCTCGCTGCCCAACGGCCCCCGGCTCCAGGGTGCGTCGGATCGACGCCTGGGCCTCCCTGCTCTGGCTCCTCCTGCTGCTCATCCACATCGCCGAACGATACGCGCCGCTGACCGCCGCCGCCACCGCCGCCGCCGCCAGCAACGCTCCCTCCGATTGGCTGTCCCGCCTGCGCCTGCCCGCCACCTGCCTGTGCGCCGCCGTGGGATTGGCCGCCGCCGTGGCGACCAGGCGGCCAGCAGCGTCCTCGCGTGGGCCCAAGCCGCGAAGGTCAGATGCGTGAGCGGGAGAGACGGGCGGGAAGTGAGGGTGAGGTGAAGGGACCCCCGCCGCTCACCAGAGCTGTGTTCCGAGTGCTTTCATGAGTTTTTGTTGAGGTTTGCCTTGCAGTAGAAGCTGGATGTTACACGCGCCACCCTTGGGTTGCTTGCGAGTGAGGCCAGGGCCGCGGTGTGTGCTGATAAGGATGAGAATTTTGCAGTCGATACCACATTGGGAAGTGGGTTAAAATTGAGTTACAAGATTTGAGGATACGACGACAACAACAACAGAGTGAATTTTGATTTAAAGCTTTCGTGACTGCAGGGATTCATCTTCTTGGTTCTTTCGGTAAAGTCACGTAGAATGGAAATAATTAAATAATAAAAGTACAACCTAATGAGACATTCAGACTCTTGTCTACTCGACAGACCTGCTCTCCACCTGAGGACGGCTGCTTGCGTTGTGGCCGAAACGTCGTGAGAATCATTTTATTATGTTTTATTTTAATTCTTTTATTATTTCCTTTCTACGTGACTTTACCGAAAGAACCAAGATGAAGGATGAGAATTACACCTCAACACGTTTCGTCGTCGATAACACGATGGCCTTAAAAAGAAAAGTAGTTCGGCCAATGGCCCTCCTTCTGCACAGTACTTAGAGAGGCCTTAGAAGGTCGTGTTATGCACTCTCAAGGCAGTGCTGTTCATGCATTCGTTGAGGTTTCTCTGTTCACGGTGCTTGAGCACCACTGCCGATGAAGTATCACCAAGCAATTTGTTTAATTTGTGAGGATGAAAATTTGCTGTGCATCTCAAAGCACCTTTCATCACATCTTGTCCCACCCATTGCTTTGCCCTGTGCAAGTCTAGCCAGTGGGCTTATATCCAAAGTGTGCCTGTATCAGAAGTTATACCCATCGCCATTCCCTCCCCCCCCTCCACCGGTATAATGTAAGGATGTGTTGCTTATATCAGAGTTGTGCTTGTATATCAGGTGTGCCTATATCCAGCTTCTACTGTATTGCCGTTTCTAGAAAGTGTCCATGAGATTTCACCCCACTCCCTCCCCATGCCCCCTCTCACACAAAGACTTCATTTGTCTCCAACGTGTTTCTCTTCATTTTACCAAAACCGTTCCCAACTCTCGTTTAAGAATAATTTACGAATTGGACAGCCTAAATCACGGTGAAAATAATCTGTGTGACGTTTCTTGGTTTGGCCTAGGTTAAAGGTCACACAGGTTCTTGCCGTAAGCCATCATCACTACCTCAGGTGCCTGGTTTCTCCTGGCCAGAGTAAGCCCTCGCACTCGACTCTGTTCGACCAAAACGATTCACGTAAGCGCCACAACCAAGCGTAAATAAAACACGGACAAGTGAAGTTCATGATCGTGCGCTACATCATTATCAGTGTTACGTCTAGTGCGCACGCGCACAAACTGCAGAAAGCTAACATTTCAGGCTCTGGCCCTTTATCCCCTCTAAAGGTCCATTGCCTGAAACGCGAGCTCACTGTGCGTTCACTTTGTTTACGAATCACGTGCCAGTGTTCGTGTCGGCGGTCAGTGGCGTGCTTGGATGCCGAGTGCGCAGGCCATGCAGTTGAACCGGAGATGGGGGGGGGGGCCCGTTGGGCCAGAATCACCCAGGCGCCGAGGCCTACAAAGAGAGACGTGGAGGTGCGGAGGGCGATTTAGAACGAGGGGGACCCCATTTCATTCCTTGCGCCAGGGCCAATGCCAACCAAGCTAGGCAACCGGCTCTGGCGACGAGATGGACGGCGCGTACGTAGTCCCCCTGAGGTTTTGCGTGCAGTTTAAACCGTTAACCCTTCCGAGATGGCTGCAAGTTGTAGGGGTGGGTGTCCCGTTCGCCGCTGAATCTCGCAGCGTTCATTTTATTTCGAGAGGCATAGCGCCCAAATCTTGACTTAAAGCTTTTGTGACTGCAGGAATTCATATTCTTTGGGTCTTTCGGTGAAGACACGTAGATAGGTTCAAAGAAAATAACAAAAAACCAGGCAACACAAGCGGTCGTCTTCAGGAACGTCGTAGTTTTTTGTTATGTTCTTTGAACCTATCTATGTGACATTACCAAAAGACCCAAAAAATAGGCATAGCGCCCGTTTTTAAAGAAATTGTACTCACCGCAGAGAACTGTCGCGACCCGACCACACTCTGATAGCTGGTGCCAAACTGTGCCATGCACCCTCCCGCATGGCCTTGTGGGAGCCTCGGCGTGCTGATATAAAGTTTACTTGAGATTTTCTTTCGGATCCGTTCCGAAGAAAATGTTTTAATAAGTTTATCGATTCAACAGTCAATTGTTTTTACATTGAAGAGAATGTTGCAGATATTAGTGGTTATGTTTGATTGAATGGTTGAAATATTTACATGACAGATACACATTTAACTATCATCATCATCATGATGAAACCATGCTCGATCCACTGCTGGATGTTTGCCTGCCGAAGCCGTCGCCACCTCTCTCGATGCCGCGATCCAACGCTCCATTCAGCACGTGGACGGGAACCGATCTCATCGGTCCATCTCTTCGCTTGAAGCCCTCTCGGGGATCACGCATTCCAGATGCAAGTTGAGAAAAAAAATATTGTCGCGCACGGGATTCGATGCGTGCATCGTGAGCTTTAAGAGGTTGCCGAGTGGCTCGGAGGTTTGAGTGCTGAGAGCCGGTACCGCTGAGATCCTGGGGTTTGAATCCTTGAATGGGCTGTGTTCTTCAAAGTGTAAGTTAGTCGATGATCTCCGCCCAGTCGCCAATAACTGCACGTAAAAAGGCGCCGTGCTAAATTTGGCTTTGCATTTGCTGTGGCTGCATCAATGATATGGGTTGACCGCATCTGTCATGCGAAAAAACAATCTCACAGCAGAGTGCGTTGAAAAGTGCGCCCCCACTCTCAATGCCAGAGGCCAGTTGTAGTTTTTTTTACAGCAAAAGCCCTCTTATAAATCTTTTTCACTGGCCGATCGCTGGCACATGGGGGGGGGGGGGGGGGCCTGCCTTGCTTTGCGAGATTTCTGAAATAAAACAATCGATGCAAATTCAACTTACTTGATACAACGACGGCGCATCGAGTAGCTATGCCCCAATACAGCACGCCCCTCATCGAGCACACAGTATCCCCATCTAAGATGACGGTTATTAAGCGATTATTACAACAACAAAAAATTAATCTGGTTACCGGGATGAAAAATCAGACACTAACGTGTGTGCGCTTGATGTGTCGTTTTTGGTTTGAGCCACGATATTAATTTTTTTCAAAAAGTGTATTATCGGCTGCGTGTTGAGATCATATTGGTGTTTGGGAGTGAGCGGTGTAACCGGATTTTTATTTTTTATTTCCTCTCGCCGACCTCCTTGCCTTGTTTCGTGCCACGTCGCTCCGAGCTTGTATCTCTGCATGCGTGTGCTGTGCTGCTGGCCTGATGTATCCACCTTTGTTGCTTGTCGTGCCTAAGTACAAACTTGGAACTTTGAAAGTGTCTATCTTTTTTTTCGACTCGGTTTTTCCTCCTCTTTCTATTTCTCCACCCTCCCCTTCATTGTCACTCAATTCATCCTTTGTTTTTCGTTGGCACACGACCAAATCGCCCGGGATGCCCCCCCCACCGCCCCCGATCTCATCAGATCTCACCAAGCTAAGCAAGCTTGAGCCTGGCTAGCGCTAGGGCCTGTGTCCGCCCCGCGCAAGCGTGGTAGGCGTTGTGGGCAGTACGAGGGTGGCGCAGCGCAATCGATTGCTTGTTCATGTGCACTCCCATCCTCCGCGAGCCACACTGACCAGCGTGGTGAAGTACGGTCAAAAAACTATCCTTCACGCCCAGCAAGGCATGCCGAGGGCCCTCATCCGGCAGCGGAGTGACGAGAACGGGGCTGTAGACGTTCAACGTAACGTGGGACTCCTCTCGCGTCCTAGACAGAAGTGGTGGGTGTAGTTGTTTTACAGATGGGGGGGCCGCGGGAGGGAGGGGGGCAGTGAGTTGATTTTTTGAGGGCTCGAGCCCAGGACTAGAGCAGGGAGGCAAGGAAGTCGGCAGCACTGATGGGGGGAATGGAGTTCGAAACTATGGAGAGGAGGGGAGTGGGTGGGCAGTAGAGGAGAATCAGAATATGTATCTACACTGGAGGAATCCGATGAGATATGAAGCTCTTTTTGCACAGATTTCCAGTAGGTGCGTGGATCAGCACGTTATAACAGCAATGCAAAGACACAATGGGAGCGCAAAGCGTAGTCAAGGTAAACAATCACTTGAACAATCTCTAGAAATAAAGCCAAACAATTTGTTTTCTCGTACCAGGTGAGGCCCACTGAGCTATTAGCTTATTTTTAAGAAGCGACCTGGCCACAAATTATAGCTCAACGAAGTGGCTTATCGCGTGGACATTTACATGCGGCGAAATGATCTGTATGATCTTAGGAGAAGCGAGCTACCTCCCAAATTGTTGTTGAATCATTGAAACCTTTGAAATTTACTTCTGGAACTGAGTGTGTGGGACGGCAAGTGGGCAACATGCAAAACCACGCGAACAATAGAGATGAGTAGAATTCCCTCGATGGGAACTCGGGAGACAAAGGCGGCCGGGCGTGGTGCTTGCCACCCACACCCCCTCTTGTCCCGTGTCGGCCTTCATACGAGCTCGCTTGCTAGCAGCATTTCACAAGTAGCACTAGTCGCATTCCTGCATTTCCCATAAATATGCTAAATTCCTCTTGATATGCAGATTCTTTTGTCAAGGCGCATTTTCCCCCCCCCTTCCAACCCAGCTTAAATAGACACTCCAAGCATGGTGGCGTTTCATTTAGACGCTGTCGCCTCGACAGACCTGGTCTTCACCTGAGGACGGCTGCTTGTGTTGTGGCCGAAACGTCGTGAGAATTATTTTATTATGTTTTATTTTTATTATTTTATTACTTCCCTTCTACGTGACTTTACCGAAAGAACCAAGAAGTTGCTAACAGCACTTGTCACAATGGCCTGTGCAGGCTATA